ACTGACTACTACTTTTATTTTATGGCAAAAGACTTTCTGTAGTTAAAGAAAAAAATGTTGCTAGTTTCCAAAAATATTGATATCATATATAGACTCTTGGGGCAGATTTTTCAAGCTCTGTCTGTATGTAGGGCTAGTGCTGACTTTTTTTTCCCCCCCCCGAATACTTCTTGCTTCATATTCATTTAGCAGAGTGGGAGTACAGCATTGCTTCTTCCAAAACGCCTCTGATAATAGTTTTTGTATTTGGCATCTGGACCCCAATAATTAAATGCAGTTAAAATGTAAGGTTTGCTATAATAATAATCATGGAAAAAAAAATCTGAGCCTGATCTGGAGACTGACTTACAAATCTTGCTAAATTTTAAGTCTTGTGACATAGGAAAATTGTCAAAAGGATGAAGCAACACGTAGTTATGCAGTCCGAACTGTTGCTTTCCTGGTAATAGAAACTTTATGCAATAGTTTAATAGAGGGCTATCAGTGATACTTTATTCCTAACCAGCTCTCTCACCTGCAGATATTGGATAATGGCCATGGCAGCGTTTTACAGCTATGCCTTATGTTTTGTATAGTGCTTTACAAACTCTTCTATAGAAGCTTCAAGTCTTCTAAGATTTCAAATATTCTTTCAGGTTTAAATCTCCTAAGTCTATGAACAGATATACTTCCTTGATACCTAATTCAGGAGTTTTCGGAAGTTTTTTTGTAGGCCAGATCACATTATAAAGATAGTTATTGCAATCCTTCATGTTAAGGTTACCTAAGACCTGTCATTTGCACAAAATGTTGCCTTCAACACTCACTGGACTTATGTGATGCAGAAACGAAAAACTTTTCTGTAGAAAAAGGCTATTAAATTCAAACACTCAAAAGGATTCTTTACCTAAGCGGTACTGGTCAGAACTGAGTACAGGGTTGAGGCTTCTGTGACAGAAGCCTGGCCTTATATGGTGCAAAAGTCAGGTGTGTTCTGAATAAGGTAAAAGACTGCAGTAAGCGTGAAAATCGGATAGCAGTAAAGACAATCTGATGCTACTCATGAGAAAATATGTTTATACTTGATTCTACTGCATGCTTGTTCCTGAGTTTGAACAGTGTAATCTAGCTAATGTTACAGAGGGTATGGGTGTGGAGGCACAACAGTCTGCTGAACTCAGCTACTTCATCTTCACAGTGTGAAGATAAACTGCTGGCATGGCTGGACTTACAGTGGTACCCAAACTAGGTGTAAAGCAAACCAAATTACAATTGCAGAATGACTGTTGTTTGAGCATATGTTAAGTGTTCCATGAGAAGCTCTTCAGAGTGGCTGTAAAATGGAAGCTGTGGCTTTTATTGCCTTTGTCAATAAGGCGATGTAAAGCAATTTTTTTTTTTTAAAGTGCTTTACAAGTATGGTCGTATGTGAGTTGGAAAAACAAACAGTATTACTGTTTATGTATGTTATGTATCACTAAGAGGAGTTGCTTAATTACTTGGGTTAAAATGCTGCAGTTGATAAACACGAAACTCTTACTATATCTGTTAATCAATCCATGCTGTTGCATGTCTAAAGTATTGTGCAAAGATTTGTAGACTAGGCTGTTCTACGTATGTATGCCTACACAATTTTTACACACAAATTTTATTTTGGAACTCTATCACAAGCTGAGAGATACAAGAAAAAAAAAGTTCTTCTAAGGTCTAGATAATGCTCATCTTTCCAGTAGATGCAAAGCTATGCTTAAAAAATTGATCATCAATTGTCAAGTATTGAATGATGCAGCTGCTTTGTTTAGTAGTCAGTATGTTTTAATCTGTACATTCTTCAGAATACTGAATTACAAGAAGCATAGACTGACTTCTTAAAAATAGTAAGGTCTGCCTTACGTTCTACTGCCTTACGTTCTAATATACAGGCTTCTGTTGGCCTTCTGCTTCCGTCTACTCTATCTGTTCATTCCCTCATTCTTGTGCCGTAGAAATGAATATTCAACTTAATATATTGGTTAAGCTGTTTAATTGATCAAGTTGTTTGGAACGTTGCTGCAATTCAGCAAGTTGCTTTTAATTTGATAAAGTAAGTCACCCAACTTCTGTGTTGTTAGCCTACCTCTTTAATTTTTTTCTCGGTGCTCATCCTATAGTCATCCTCATTGTCACTGCTTTTTCCTTCTTACCTTACTAATTCCACTAATTGCAGTTCTTTCCATTTACTCCTTATTAAAAAGAGACAACATAGAGGCAACTGTCTTTAACATTCAGCATTTCATAGTCTTTTTATCCTTTAAATCTTTTCTGTCTCCATCTCCTTTCCAGTCTGTAGTTTTGGTTTTTTCTGATGCCTTTTTTCCATAATTGTAATACCGAGTTCTTTTAAGCAACATAATATTGCAAAACTAGGCAAACAAACAAAAACCCCTCAGAGCTTTCCTGGACCTCTCACAAATACTGCAGATACTTTCTGATGATATTCTCTGTGGATTCTTCTTGCTTAGTGGAAAATACTTTCTTGCATATCAAAACATTTATTTTATCGCTCTGATTTTTAGTTCAAGAGAACTGTCTCACAAAGCACTTTTTCTTAGGCTCATCTTCTCTTTGCTTGATTGGATCTTCATAACTTGATCAATTCCCCTTAGAATTATATTGGGAACACCAATAAGTGTTACTTTCATGACACGTTTTCCTAGTGGAATCTACAGGCCGTTTAAAGGTATGTCCAAAATAAGATAGCAAAACTTTATCTATGAAACACAAAATATTCTTTAGTATTCAATCAGAACTAAAAAAAAAAAATTAAGCCACTTGTATGCTGTAAATGTTCACTTTTTTTTTTTAAACTAATAAACCCTTGAATTAGAATCAGCAAGTAGAATTGGAAGGTGTATCATTAGGAGTGTAGTGTAAGAAACACTAGAATTCTTATTCTGCAAATCTTTTCTGGCACAGTGATGAAAATTACCTTAATACTTAACATAGTGCTCAAGCTGCAGGCCTGACCTCCACCCTGTGAGCAAAGAAACTACACTTTGAGATTGGGAAGTGATGGCTAGGACTTTTGAGAGATGAAGGTGTAGCAACCTATGCTATTATATCCCGTATACTGTTTATTTGTAACAGCCCATTTCTGCTCCTACAAATAAGTAGGAATAGACTAAGGAAGGCTGATCTTTGATCCTATCAAAATAAGTATTGGAAAAATCAAGTAGCTTATATACTGTGGAGGTCCTAGTTATATGGAGAGCTGAGGGGAGCGGTGTAAAAGTACCAGCTTTTAACGTCTTTTCATGGGCTTCTGGGAAGAAAAAATTCTGATATTCCTGATTCATATTGGCTTGATTTGTCATCTTATTTTTCCCGTGTAACAGCTTTATGCCTGGGGGGGAATGTATTTCCTAATTATTACCTTCAAATTGCTGGTCAGGATTGGTACCTTCTTTTATAGGATTTGTATTACGTGTAAACTGGAAATTTGTAGGCTACATCTATGCTCAAAAGGGGATCTAGGCAGCAATATGTGCATATATGAAGATACTTCAGGAAAGTATTATTTAGGTGAGAACTAAATTACTGGAACACTTAAATGGCTTATGAATTTCAGGTTTCCCACCAGCACATAGGTACTTGAAAACTAAGTCCTTCTGAGGATTGTATCCAAATCATTGTTTTGAAGGCTTTTAAGCTGTGTCTTTTTTGAGTCCTTGTGGCCAATGTGGCTTGGGACTTTTGTGCTTTCCTTCAGTATAAATAATAAATAAGCCTGGACTTCACCTGCTAGACACAAAACGTACAGTTTTTGGTCTGTGACTGGTGCCTTCATATACTGTGATGATGCAAACAGCAGTAATACTTCATTCCAAATAAGTATTTTCTACAAAAATGTAATTGAATAGTCTTGTATTTAAACGTGCACTTAATACACCATGAATAACGTGAATATACCTTGAAACAACTGTTCAGCTAATTTGCCCTTTTGTAAGTTTGGGGGGGGATGTTCTATTGTGTGGGGTTTTTGTTTGTTTTAATATATAAATGTTGAATTGATGAATGCTATATGATGCAAGTTTATAAGGGTAACCACGGAATGTTCACAGCTATATTTAGTCATCTATTTTTTTTTTTATTTGTTTCTGCTGTCAGAATATGAGTGATGCAATGGCGATTCTACATAAGTTACAGACAGGTCTGGATGTGAATGTGAAGTTCACAGGTGTGCGAGTATTTGAATATACACCTGAATGCATAGTGTTTGATCTTCTTGATATCCCTTTGTACCATGGATGGTTAGTGGACCCTCAGGTAACTTATTTCTTTCAATAATAATTCACACAAAGTTAAATTATTCTGTTTTGTTTTTTTGACGATGTTTCCGATTTCTGTTAATTTTAATTGGAGTTGGTGGATCTGAGTCAATAATGATGACTATGGGAAAGGGTTTTCTTAACCTAGTCAGTAAAGTTGGATTTCCTTCAAGGAGAGGGAGAAAAGGGAAACCCAGACTGTCCGTGTCTCTCTCAGTGTAGAACTTTGCAGAGACTAGATTTTTAGTCAAGCTTAGATTCAAAACATTACTCTGAAATCATGATGGTGCAAATGAGGTTTGGTGTCCTGAGGGACATAGGAAGTTGCCAGATGTGGTATACCACTCATTGTTTTTGACGGCTCACTAGGGAACGTTTATCAGGAATTTGAGGCTACTTTCCTCCTTTCTTCAGTTACAGCTGACTTCTGCCAGTCACTGCTTTGAGAACTCGGAGCATTAGAACCAGTTTTAGAAAACTGAGTCTATAATGTGAGCTCTAAACACCATGGAGGGAAGTAAAGGAGAAAGAAGTGAAGGTTATTCTTTGTAGAAGAATAGTTAGAAGAAGAACTATTCTTTGTAGAAGAATAGTTTGTAGAAGAGGTTATTCTTTGTAGAAACGAGCCCCGTTCTCTCCTCTCTCCAGTAATAAGTAATAAGCCATCAGAAGTTATGGATTCAGAATGGAATCTGGCACTGCAAAATGTGTAACAATCTGGGCTAAGGCTTTTTGGCCGTTTTAGGAGGATAATGTTAATGGAAACTTTTCTTTTCTTTTTTCTTTTTTTTTTTTTAAACGAATAATTCCAATAGGCTTAGGGCAGTTTTCTGTTCTCCATGAAGATAGGTTCTCACTTTTGTGTCCTGTTCTCTCCTGCTCCAGGTTGCTGACATTGTAAAAGCAGTTGGTAACTGCAGTTACAATCAGTTAGTGGAGAAGATAATTTCTTGTAAACAGTCAGACAACAGTGAACTGGTTAGTGAAGGTGGGTATCTTTTTTTTTCTGTGCTTTATCCAAATAACCAACCTGTTATATCTTAATGAAGTATTTCTTATGTGGGGCCTGGTGTGTGTTGTCTGTAGCGTAATGATATAGGTGTGATGAATTGCATTAATTGTGTCTATTAAACTTTCCCTGGGAAGCGCTGTGCTTGTCTTCTAAACTTCCATGGTGCAATTTTCAAAACAAGGATCAGCCTAATTCTGTTGAATTCTATTATATATCCTTTTTTTAAAAGCTGGAGAGAACTTACTCTTATAAATGGTAGGATGAGCAGCATTTAGATTTAAACTTGGCTATGTCTCAATCTCTTATAATTAGACCATGAATTATATACATGAAAAGGAAAAAATCAGTAATGATTGGATTGGAAGGGGATATAGCATGTCTAAACATGAGAAGTTGTCTACAGTGCTGAAGTTTTGGAACTTTCAGCTCATTTTTCCCTCTCTGAAGGTGTTCCTTTACATTTGTGGTAATAAGAGGGCATTCCTCTAGTAGGGAGGGGATAAGACAAATTTTGCTACAATTTATATGTAGGGAAAGGAAATTGAATGTAGATATTTACAAGCCAAAGAAAGAGAAAACCACTTCTATTTGGTTACTCTAGAGGATTTAGGACTGAGTTTTTGGAGGAATTCTTAGGGTTTTGTATGCTTGGCATGTGGTCTTGAATTATTTTTATTTTGGCCCATCTTTACAGGGGGTAGTTGTTGAGCAGTGAACGCACCCTCCTTGATGGCATTCAGGTGCCACCCTCTTACCCAATGCAGAGAGTTAGCAGTCTATTGACAGTGATGTACAGCTGCTGCTGGGGGCAAAAGGCAGCCCTTTTTTCCAACAGCTGCTCTGTTAACTTCCTTTTCCTGTATTTCTCAGTAGCAAACCAGCTGTATATATTGAACAGTATCCATATTCTACCAGCAGCAGTGCAACCGCGGCTCTCCAGGTTGAGCTGCAACTCAAGCTAAAGGCTAACACGTGGCCTTCTTGAGGCACAATAAAAAGAAGTGTTCAATAGCTACTGGTTTCCACAGAAGGAAAGTGCGACAAAGAAAGCAGTGGGGACTCCAGCTTGTGAAGTATTTTCAGTTTGCTGTGGTGCATTTAAAAAGGGTGTTGTGATATGTGATGCTCTGTTCAATAAATATCGTGTTGCTGTTTCTGGAACCTCTTCTGTCTCATTGTTTTATAGTTAGGGAGGTATTTTGGCAGATGTTAACAAAATTGACGAGTCTTAAATACTGTGATTAAAATCAGAAGTAATGCCTCTGCATGAGGTTCTCGTAGATCTAAAAATATCTCAAAAGAGGACAAGTGTTTTGTAGCTTTATTTACAGCAGAGGAAACTTCAGTAGTAAATACGGATTAGTATGAGAAGAGGTTGCATATTATGGCATTCCTTTATCTGGTCTTTCCCAAGAACAAGTTAGATTAAGAATTTTGTTACGGCTTAGCATACTTCCTCTTGCCATTGTCTAGGGATGTATACTAAATGACAAAAGTTTCCTTCCGTACTCCGTTCCACAGGTGTTTCTGTGGCTTAAACTTCTCTCACATTTTTTTCCTGTTCAATGTAATTACCCACCAGTTCTCTGGAAAAAGTAAGAGGAATGTGAATTGCTGAAATTTGCTAGAGTAGACAGATAGACAAATGGTATTTTTGCTTTACTTTTAAAACACTCTTTTCAGTCAGCCCATTATAACACCCCCCCCCACCACCACCACTTTTTCCATGTTTTCTCACCACATTCAACAATTACTTGTAAGGATTAAATCAGAAGATGTGTTTTGCTACCCATGAATTGCATGCTAGCTGGATGACGTTGTGACGAATAACTCCTAGGAAGTCCTGCTTTAAAAGCATTAAGTAAAATATTTTAGCAAGCAAACTGTAAAAATGGAATTCGCTTTTAACCCAAGCTTAATAAAACAAAAAAGCATTAATCGGTGAGATGTTTCTCTTTCTTTGTTCTAATGAAATCAAAGCAATGACAGAAAAGATTTTTTTTTTCTTTAGTTGTCATGAAACTTGTGGGGGTGAGTGGTTAACCAAGCGTATGATAGACACATGCGTAACAGGATGTATTGCTTTTGTAGGATTTGTAGCTGAGCAATTTCTAAATAACACAGCCACGCAGTTGACATACCATGGGCTGTGTGAGTTGACTTCAGCTGTCCAGGAGGGAGAGCTTTGTGTGTTCTTCAGGAACAACCATTTTAGCACCATGACCAAATATAAGGTATGTTCACCACTTTTATTGTTTTTGTTGTTGTAGTTTTCTTTTTCAAAGTGAATCTTTTTTTTTTTCCTGCCTTTAAATAGGCATAAATGCCAGTAATTAATATTATTAAAGGTAGGTATGGCTTATGGTGAATGTAATGTCCACAGCAAATGTTACTTATGAATTATTGGTTAGCATTTTAAATATCAGGATACGTCATCATTTTAAATGTTATCGTCGCTCCTTCCTTTGTTTAGTTTGCTCCCTGCGTTAACTTCTTATGTGTTTGTACAGGATTTACTTACGTAAGTAAAGCTTATTTTACTTAAGTAAGTCTACTTGCAGTGTGTAATTGGCAAGTATAAGGTTAATGGATTTACTTAGCTGGTTGCTCCTTAGGGGAGAAAGCTTTGTTAAATGGGGCCAATAGATGCCTAGCTCCATAGATGGATCTTGGTGTTCAACGAGCAAGCATTTTGAGAAGTTGAGATCAGCTATGTTATTGGCTTCCTTTAATTTGAGGGAAGAGATTATTCTTGAATTTGAAACTGGGGAAGCAAATGGTGAAAACTGAAAGGAATACTCAAGGATACTAGAAGCAGGTGAGAATTTGGTGACTGCTTCTGAAACTCTCCACTCCAGGGAGTGGAGGATTGACTTTGAATTTGTAATCGCTTATGGAGCATCTTTATTCTAAGGCAACTTTGCTTTTACGAAAGTGATAGTGTGCTTTTATGTATCTGAGAGTGCAGGTGAAAAGGGGTGCAGTCAAACCCTCTCTGAAAAGAGGGGAACGATTAAGGAGACAAACTCAAATACTCTGAGGGAGATTTTTGTAGGATTATAATGTCAAATCATATCTGTAGGTAGATATTTCTCTCAAACATAAGTATAGTAAGTTTTTACCTTTGTATTGAAATTTTGTTTTGGTTAGCTATTTTTTAATAAGACTTTGATTTGTATGTATATTTATGTTTATAAATAATGCTAATGCAAGAAAGGATGTCAGTAACATACACAAATGTGGAAGGGCCACTGTAGTAGTAGTAGTATTTTTACCATCTTCTGTTTGGTAACCTCATATACTGTGTTTGATAACTTTTTTTTGTTTAGCACTACTAGTGCTTTTTTGCCATCTATTAATCTTAACTGTCATATGTTTACCTTTGGCATCTTGAGTTAACTACTCATAACCTGAGCTAAAGCTCTGAATAGTTCTAATAAATAATGGATTAACTCTACAAACAAGTAACACTTTTTAAAATAACTTCTTGGAGCACATCTATGATTTGTTTTAAATATATGTAGAATGATAATCGTCTCTTAAAACAACAAGAGAGATGGCTAAAAGTACATCTTCCTCCTTTCCTTCTCCCTCTACCCCATTAAAAAAAGGTTATGGAATGTATTTGAATAGGGAGAGAGTAAGTCTGAAGGAATTCATAGCCAAGATAATTGTTTTATTCCCTGATGAACCTCACTTATGTCACAATTTTAAGACTTACAGTATTGCTTCTCTTCATTTTTCTAAATCTACATCTTGCAATAGTTATAGTATTGTTTGTCATGTTGGCCCATACATTTTTGTTTGATTGCTTTTCTTGAGAAGAAAAATACCAATTCGGTTTTAAAGAGAAAAAGTCTGAGTACAGATGGTACCTGGAAGTGCAGGAAACAATTTTCTTGGTTCAGAGGATATTCTAGATAAAATATTATTTCCAGTAGGACTTAGAATACTTAAGTGCTTCATTTTGGTACAGTAATTGTAACTTTTACAATGTAAAATGTTTCTAATGTTAAAGGACCATGAATGTCACTTTGCATTTGTGAAATACAAATATAGAATTTTACCTATATAAGGTGGACAGCTGTCTTCTGCTGCAGCCCAAAATACAGATCAAAGCCCAAAACTTGGCTTTTGTTGTTAGTGCTTTATCCACTTCATACTTGTAAATCTATACTTCTCCAAGTAAAAAGATCTCAGCTGAGAAATAAAATGCAGAACTTTAATGAGTTAAATATCTTTAAGCAATAATGCAGAACAGATTAAGGCAGTCAATAAAGGTCTGTTATTGAATTTCAATTATAAGAGCTAAACCCAGTTCTTAAGAAATTCTGAGTTTAAACATTTTAAAAATGGCATTGTTTGTCAAATTTGTATTTTACTGCTCCTAAGTCACTGTTGACTTAATTTTGTCCTTTTTGAGAAGCTGCTGACTTGTGAAATGGCAAGTTTCAGAATATGGGCCATTGTTCTTTTGTTTCATAGTCACTCTAATGTCCTCCCTTAGAGCTAGTGTTCAATCTTCAGGTTATCTACAGACTTTTAGTTGTTTCAGGGTTTGTCGTTTTTAACCAATATTGTTCACTTTGCCTTGGATTTTTCGTGAGTTATACCTACGTTACAGAATTTGAGAGCTCAAGAAACCATATTATAAAGACAAAAATTCTTTATTAATCTATTTTTAAAAGCTGTATTTGCAATATTGAATTTTTTTTATTTCCAATAGCTAAATGATTAGATATTCTTTCTTACTGAGGAAGTTAGAAAAGGACTTGACTTTTCAGATAGCTAATCTTAGCTGAAAGCCAATCTTTGGACCTCCAGGATACCGATCTGAGTGTCAAGTGCATTGTTGTCAGAGTTAAGATCTTTCATCTGCTTTCCTCTTTCCTATAATTAGATTTAACGTTAGCTCTGCATATTTTGAATGGAGTTTCTTTGATATCACAGTTCCAGCAGTAGTAGGCAGCAACTCTTTCTGGAGAAAGATCTATCAGTTAGGAAAACAGAGGAGAGAACATAATGCCAGAGAAAATGAAGTCATACAGCGTTTGGGGAAAGAACTATGCAGTCTGTTTGTCCTTCTCTAATATTGCTCTTCCCTTCTCTCCCTCCAAACCAATATATGGAGACATACAAACAAAACAGTTGATGAAGTTAAAGGAGGATTATTTATGTACTGTACGTATAATAAAACTGTTATTTCCAGAAACATGTAATTTTTGGATAATTAGCAGGAATTTGTAGCGAAAACCTATTAGAATAATACTTGAACATCCTACCGTACCTAGTGAAGCTAATATTTAAACTTGGAAGTTTTGATGTACAGCTGATACATGGACTTGCATGCAGGGGATATTTTTTTATATATATATATATACATATATACATATACATATATATATATGTATAAAGTTCAATGTTACAATTCTAAGGCTGATATTTTAATAAGAGGACTTGGATTTTGGCATCTTACTGTTCCAAAGAAAGAATATAGGTTGCTCTCAATTGCATTTATTGGAGAAAAGAAAAAAGAGGTCGCTTATCTCCTTCAAAGGAATTGAGGAAATTAAATCAACTTTAGAACTTTGAGATGCAAGTGTTAGTAATCTAAGAGAAAGAAATGTTTGGGGATGTTGTGGTAATGCAAAGAGAATTTCAGAAATCAGAGACACTTTAAAGTTTAAATAAATCTTTTTTTTCTTTCCTAATAAAATAAAGGAATACAAATAGCTTTAATTCTACTTTATAGTGAGGCCAAGTAACAGCTACATGATTGTGATTGAGTCATTTTTAGTATTTGTGGTGCCAGGTTGAATCTTCACATCTCATCTTGTGAGTTTGTTTTAGAGGTAATTGTTTTCTTTAAATTTAATTAATTATTATATCTACACTTAGCTTTATTTCCTTAATGAGATTATCTTGTGGATGTTTTAAGGCAGAAAGAATCTCGTAACAACCTTTGTCTGTGTAAGTTGGATTTCCTGTTTAAATTTTTATTACAAAACATTTGCAGTATTTAATCATTGTTTTGATATTTAGTATCAATTAAAAAATATAAGACTTATACTCAGAATAGTATACCTGATTTTACTGAGATCAGAGCAACAAATCCATTGGAAGCCACAGCAAATGGCAAGAGTTTAATAGAAACATTCAGGCACACTAGTGCCCAACTAGTATGATTGTAAGACCGACTAATCTACTGACACTTCCTTTGTGTCCAGTTTCTCTACTGAGGTCAAGATTTTTGCATGTAAACTAAAGGCATTTGCTTCATATAAGGAAAGGAAGTTGAATGACCCCTTGCAGCCTTGCTTCCTTTTTAATATTATTTTTAGTTGCTACTAAATTATCAATAATAACATAAGTTTCAGTTATTTTTTGCTATTTAGTGCTTCTTGCAACTTTCAACATGAGAAATACAATGGCTATTGTGAACGTACTGCAATATTATGAATACCTGGGGTAGGTTAGTGAGTGGTGTCAGTGCTGTTAAATATTGTAAATAAAAGCTTATTAACACACTCTATTAGCGCATCTTTAAAAGGCAGTTCCAAGCTAGTTATAGGGGTGAAGATAAGGCTTTGGACTTTCATCATGGACTACGATAGAAGTTGTGTATATCAGAATAGTTGGAAAAAGGCACCCAAATATTAAACAACTAATAAGTTTTGTTTAAATATTATTTAAAACAATCTTTGATATATGAACAAGAAAAGCCATAGGAGGAAAAATGATTTTAGTTTACTCTGTCACCATATCTGGAAATGTCTGTTGCTGTTTTGAAATATTTCTGTTTGGTTTAATTATTTGGGCACTTCTGATAGTCTTCTGTTAGTTAACTAGTCTGCCATTTTTACGAGTCTTTCTATTAAATTTCTGACTCTGCAAGTAGGAATAAAAGCAAAAGGGCTTATTTAATAATAAATTTTCCATTTCAGGTATAGCATTCACTTTAAAATGGTAGAAGTTTAGAGAAAAAAAATACCCATGGTAGAAGAATAGTGGCAGTGAGTTTTTTCAGAGGTTAATATGGAAAATTGTGAAAAAGTAATGTTCCTTTAAAGACTTCAACTTTCTCTTTCTTGAAAGATGCTGAGTCGATACCACAATGCAATTGTGAAGATACAGTTTGCATTTCAGAATAAAACATCAGTTCAAATATAATTTACTTGGTTTATTTTATGCAATGTAGTCTTGAATAATATTTTAGTATCCCTCTTCTGAAAACTGAATGAAAATTGCATAATACGATATCATGTTGACATTTCTAATTTGGAAAAGTTTGAATATTAAGATTGTCTTTATAGAAAACTATGTAGCATATTTCTAAATTTAATTATTGCATGAAAACAGTAGAAAAACAAATGTAACAAATCTACAATACAATAGACAGCTGTCAAAATGTGGGTATTAGTTAATAATGGCAGTTAATATCAGATTCTTAATCATTTCACTATTGTGCGTTTGCACTCGAGTAATCACTTCTTCTGTTCTATCCCTTTAATTGCATATTAATAGTTTTCTTGGCTCATGTGATTATGCTGTAATTATTTTCAGCAGTTAAAGATGTGATTTTTTTTTTTTTTTGCCTTTGCTTTTTGTTACACAGATAATAAATACATCACATGATAATCCCCTAGATCAAGGAAAAACAGGACTGTAAAGAGGGGATCAGTTTGGTAAGAATATCTTAGTTCAGTTGGAACGTTTTTCCCACTGACATGACTGTTATACCATCTGTTTTCTTTACTGAAAAGAACAAGAAGCTTGTTTGTTGGGAGTTTTCAGTATGTATATTGCCATGATGTTTTCTAGGTACCTTGGGTTTCTATTTCGGAACTCAACATAGACCTCTATTGAAATGCAAAATATATTTCATAGCAATAATTGCATTTTTCCTCCCTTTTGGGTTTTAAGAAGATGTGAGAGTTCAGCATAGTGCAGGCAATGTATATAATTTTTTAAACATGTTTAAATATTTTCACTTACGTGGTAAGTGTATAGCTTTTATTCTGAGGCTTAGTCTGTTGAATCATATGGTATTCATTTTCAAAAATTTTCTTAATTTTCACTTATGGTGAAAGCATTCAGATCAATTAGACTAATCCCAAAATAATTGCACTGATTTGCATCAACATAAAACATTTTCATAAAATTCAAAGGGTCTAATCCAGAAGTCCAAGAGAATATTTACACAGACTTTCAAGGCGTATGTTTAAAAAGTTTTATCTTTAAAATATGAAGTTTTTGGACAAGTGTTTGGTTTTACTTTGTCAGTTTTCTAAACTGCTGAAAACTGGATGATGGGCCTAAGAACAAGTAGTTTAAAGATTCTAATGTTATTAAATAATGTTTTACTTGATTTATCTGGTCATGGAATTAACCCAAGAAAGGAGTTCTCATAACAAGTAGTATCACCTGCAGCCTACATCTGTTTGCATTTCAGAATGTTTTTGTACAAACCAGAAGCCTAATGGAGATTGCTCTGTAGAGGAAAAACCTTGCTATCATAAATACTTTGCTTTTTTCGAGCCTTTTACATATGAAACTATAAAATCTGGGCATTGGTCTACGATATCTAGATCTGAATTTTTATGATAAGTACTTTAATCATTCATAACTCTATTGTAGAGACCGTTTTCTGTAACGGTTATGCGCTCGAGACTTTAATGTTTCTTTCACTACTAGGCAATAGTTGTTAGTAGGTAATGCTACTGTATATTCTGTGCTAGCGTTTTTGGGGGCAGCGTTAGGCCGTGGGACTGTGTATTATAAAAGTTCACATTTAGAAATAAACCTAAAAAGGTTCTAGGTTTAGGTTTTAGAATAGACTGATACCACTTTAGTAGTTAATGACCCGTTAAAGTATCGTGAAGGTAGAAACACCTTTTACTTCATAAAGTGAAGTAGTTCTTGGCAAGGTGTATTTGAAAAAGTATACACATTCGCTAGCTGAATTAAATGACCTTACTGCGCTGATCCGTCCTGTGTCAGCTTTAACTCTCGTTAGAGAACATACGCATAATGAGGACCTTGACCTGGTAATTGGAAAACGCATTCTGTTTCTTTTACCTCCTTTTTTATTATTTTTTTTCTATTACTTCCTCCTTGACTTTTGAGTTCAATGTAAATACTAAATCTCTTACTGAGCTCTGCCACTGTGCTCCCTCTTTCTGTTTTCTTGCTTGCGTGTTGCACCGAGTGGAGCAGGAGCGGCGAGACCTTATTCAGTAGCCTACAAATGCACCGTACAACCACTGGACCTAGCAAGTGGGAAATTCCAGTGTTATGTTGGCTTTCTGTCGCTATCTCATAGCTGTTTTGCTCTTTATAGAATTTGTGAGACTGAAGGAAAAGCTATGCCACTCGACTGACTTTACGATCTGGTAAGAATGGTGGCTGGTTCCTGACACCAGGCATGTCCTTATTTACTGCAGGTCAAATTTAGAGGCAAAATGAAGGTCATACGATAAATGTTCTCATACTGCAAATCCCCTTGGTGGAATTTAGGTGCGCCAGCAAAGTGAGCCTGTGGGCTTGTGAAGAGAACATGAATGGTGCCGGAACAGTGCTCTAAAAACCAGTCTGCAGTCAGGGTCTCTGCTTTTTGCAAGAAAAAGGAACATAAAAATTGAAGTTCTAGGAAGGTTGATGTTAGGAGTCTAAATAGCTGCGTTATAGCTAATACAAAAAAAGCTAACTCCTCATTTCAGAAATAAAACTGAAAGTTCTCCAATTATCATCAGGCGTTACATAAATAATAGCCGTATTATGAGGGTCTTTGGGAATCTGTTTTTCTTTTCTTTTCTTTTTTTTTTTTTTTTGCCTTTGAGAAACTTCATTAAAAATGATACTAATATGAAGTAGACATCAGAGCTCTCAGATGATTAGTGTTCATCTGCGGCTCTTCAACTGAGGAGGGCTTCAAATTAAAAGAAAGTAACAATATGAATTTTATTTAAAACCGAAACAGTTCTCTCTTTCGAATAACTGTTACAGATATTTTTGAATAACATATATTAGATTCTAGTCCTGTAAAGGTAAAAGAATACTTTACTATATGTATGTTGAAAGTTCAGCTTACAGTAGATGGGAGATTATGAAAGCATTAACACTTTCCTGTTTCAGTATTATTACTAAGCTACGCTGATATTGCAGAGCTGTTCAAGAAGTCATTCAAAGTGTGTGGCATTACAGAAGAAAGTTTGACCCTCTTTCACGCCCCCCCTCCTTGTTTCTTTTTTGGTTTTGTTTAATGAATTAGTGTACTGGTCAAAATAAAATTTAAAAAGTTCACATACACTTAAGTGTTCTATGTTTTTTCTGTTTGCTTAAAAAGACTTCTTTTACGTAAGACACCATGAAATACACATCCTGTGCACATTGACAATGTGAAATTTTGTTTTGCGTGATGTTAATAATCAGAAGTGTTGTTTGGTTTTTTAGGCTGACTTCTCGGAGAAAGATAATTTCTTAGGTCATGTTATGTGGTCAAAACTGTTGCTGACCGCTGTATTTATGCCCTGCCTGTTAGCCTGCCTGTGTTGGGATTACTGCTGTTCTGAAACTTGGAGCGTAAATCAGTGCCATATGGTTTTGTTTCTGTTCTGTTTGGCTGGCCCTCTGTATAAGCACATTTTGTGGTATTAGGCAATGTTAAATCCATTGCTGCATGTGAATCTTCAAATTACGGGTTTTATTTTGTCTCATGGCCCATGAGCTGCAGAAGGGATGGTTGCAAACTTTGGTTATCTTAATGGGATTTTTGTTTTTGTGGATGTGACAGTAAACTGCTTTGGTGGATGTTTGTTTTGTTTTGTGTTTTAATAGCTGAAATGCTGCAACAAGCTTTGCTTTGGACACTTTTGGATATTTTGATCTGGTACATTCAGTAATAATAACGGAAGCTTCTGTCTCAATGTGCCTTTGGTTGGGAATAGCAACATTTTTGCTTTGGAGTATAGTTCTTACAAGCATTATAAAAAGGGCAGGATTGGATTAAAATCCAAATAGGATTTTAAACGTGGGTTTTGAGCTTCTTTGGTGTCTCCCAAACATGCAGCACTATCTCCTTTTACCTTTCTTAACATTTCCATTTGATTTCAGCTCCTCTCCCATTTGTTCAACCTAAGCTTGCATTTCATCCTTCCCCTACTTTGGCTTCTGGACCTGTTAGTATTGTCTCTCTTTCAGTCCCAGACCAGCCCATTTTATAATTTCAGACTCTGAACTTGGCCTTGTGTAATGGTGAAAAGGCTAACATTTGTCTAATGACTTGTTGGGTGACAAGTGATAGCAAACAAAAATAGAAGTCGCTTTTTAAATCTGAAATTTATTTTTTTAAGTGAAATAAAGCATTCTATCAAAACTGACTATAAGACATAAATAAAAAGTCTGAGATGTGGTGGTTTTTGAGATAACGCCTCTTGGATTATTTGGAAAGATCACCTTTGTCCCCAGATCTTACTTTTGGAATTTAACGTGATTTCCCTGTCCTGGGAATTAACAAGGCATACTTCCTGGGTGTCCTGCCAAGGAGGTGTCAAGACATATAGTTGTATTTTACATTCATTTTTGAACTTCCATGTAATTGTTGATTATTATAAAGTATAATCCAGAAATTGTGTAGCTGTTAATTTAGCAGTGAGTCTTTTAATGCTTAATACTGATTAATTTAAATTTTAAACACACAGAAAAAATCTGAATGGATGTTTTCATGTCAGATTTTAAACTAATAAAAATGATTTCTACAAGGTTTTTCTTATTCTTCTGCATAGGGTCAGCTTTACCTGTTGGTGACAGACCAGGGTTTTCTTACAGAAGAGAAAGTTGTTTGGGAAAGCTTACACAACGTGGATGGTGATGGAAATTTCTGTGATTCTGAATTCCACCTGCGGCCTCCATCGGACCCTGAAACTGTCTACAGAGGGCAACAGGATCAAATAGATCAAGTACAGTATTTCTGTGTTTCTGTTTTATTCTTCTGTTTGGTTGTGACTATATATAAACAATTACTGTTTATTTTTAGCTGGATGTGTATATATGTATATATGCGTATCTGTATAGACGTGTGTATATATATGACCGTAAAAAAAATTCTTTAGATCCCTTCATCGGGATTCTCAAAAGTGCTCTTTTAAAGTATTATCATGATTTCAAGGAAACAGTAAGACCAACCCTGAACAGTTTGGAGAAATCCCATTTTAGTGTCTGAGAATCCATTTTTCCAAACAACTTATTCAGGTGAAACGTCAACTGTGTCGCCTTGTATATGGAAACAGAAATAGCACTGTGAAACTTCTCCCTTGCTAATAAGTTTATTTCAAGACATTAATATTGTCATAACTGAGCTTTGCTCTCTGCCCACTCTGCTGAATGTAGGACAAACACCATAGTGATTACATGTGATGCTGGTTATTTATTATTCTTAACTAAATGTAATAACTTGCAGAAGTGCTATTTCAGGTAGAACCTATTGTACTAGATAGTGCAGAAGCACGTAGCACGCCCATCCAAGCCCCCTGGAAATCTTACATTCTAAACGGGCAAAGCAAATTAGTCTTTTAAAGCAATTTTACTGTTTTTTAAGACTACTTAAGACTATATGAATAAGCAGATGCTTTTTAATAAATTGAAGCACTTTTTATCTCATTTGTAAGCTATAAAGTCTGGTAGAGATAACGGGGTAGTCATGTTTTGAATTGCCACATTGTCTCTTCCGTTTCCTTCGGAAGTACTGTCCTGTTTGCGACGTGGAGTAGCGCCAGTGCCTCAGCCACTGCAGTTCACAGTGTAGTATTTTAGCTTAAGCAGTTGCACTGGAATATGGGCTGTTTCTTTTGTGTGGGTGGTTTTTTTTTTGGGAGGGAGGTTGATCTAATGCTTTGTCATCAAACTAGATTAGAGGGGCATGTATTTAAAACTATCTTTTGATTATTTTGTCATCAGTTTAGAAGTTAATGTTGAGAGTGCATCAGTGAGAAACACTGTTCACTGCAGTGGGGACAGATGTTCTGTTGAGCATAAGTCGCAGATTTTTGATTAGAAATAGTGAATTACAAAGACAACTTCAAAATCATTATTTCTGCCTAGAACAGGTATGAGCTGGACACTGTTTTTCCCTTGCCACTGTCCAGGTAATGGAATTTAATCACAAAAGCAACTCTCTTACTAGATTTTTTTTGTTTATGGTGATATAGGCACACCGAAAAGAGAAGTGTAAAGTAGCTGTTTTCAGCCTTGGTACTGTTCAAGTTCTCTGAGCAGGTTCTGAAATGCAGTTTGTTTTGTTTCCATGAGATAGATGTATTTGTAGATAAAGAGAGGGGAAAAGAGATGGCACTCTGTAGCTGCACTTACTGAAGAATTCAGTTGATGTGACTTGGCTCACTTCTACAACAAGAGCATTAATGAACAAGCTTACTCTTTAGGATTATCTGATGGCATTGTCTCTGCAACAAGAGCAGCAAAACCAAGAGATTAACTGGGAGCAGATTCCAGAAGGAATCAGTGATCTGGAGCTAGCAAAGAAGCTCCAGGAAGAGGAGGACAGACGAGCTTCTCAGTACTATCAGGAACAAGAACAAGCAGCCGCTCAAGTCCAGGTAAGGAGAATATCATTACAGATTATGACTACTAGCTTTAGTGAGTATCAGCTTAATAGTTGATAGAGTCATAGATATTTCAGACAGGTGCAAGAGTTGATGCTATTCGTGTTCTTACACAACACGTGACAAGATGAGTCAAGGGATCTTAATGTTGCTGTTACTGTTGGAGTATGCATGCAGATCCCAGTTCCTGCTATGTAAATACATTAAAGCATGTCTAGCCTACTACATCAAGGCCTCATTCATACTGTTTAAGTTGGAATGATAGGATGAGTTAGGGGTTGCAAAGACTGCGTTGGAAGAAAATAACGCTGTGCAGTTTTAAGTAATGTTTTGAGAAAGAACAGAAAGCAAACCTGGAACATGAAGACTCCTCAACTAAACAAAAACAGAAGTCTTCTTTTTACATGGTCTGACATTAACAGGTATGCAGTTAGATTTTTTTCTTTTATTATTATTATTCAGCCATTGTAAGTACAAAATTTACATTTTTTCAATTCTGTTCCAGAACCGGTAGAAGTGTTTTTAGATGCAGTTGTTTGTATCACTCTCAGTAAATAAGCTTTTTTTTTTTTTCCAGAGATTTTAATAACTTTGTAGAGGCATAGTTGTGCTTAATTTTGAAATCAAATCTGACAAAAACAAAACTCTCTCTCTGTCATTGAATAAGCCCTGTTATTTATATTTTCTCCACAATATACGTAACTTCTCAGTTTTGCAATCTGTGCTTCACTTTTGACTAATACATGCATGAATCGTAGAGAGAAATGTCAAGCTAAATCTTATTCACAAACTTGCACGAACAAGGGATGACAGCAAAAATAAAACTAAGACCTCTCTTACTTTGGGAAAAAAAAAAAAACCCTCTGGTTAAAAATACATACCAATATAAATCTCTTTTTGAGGATGATGTCTGAACTCAAACTGCCATAACTTGAGATTCTGTTCTAACACTTGAGTTTGCGGTTTTTTTTGCGTTATCTTATTTGCTCATAATTAGTACTGAGCTATTAGCCAATATTCTTGCATTATTTGCAAAAAAGCATTCAAGGAGGAGCTTTTTGATAGTAGTCCAAGTTCTGTCCTTATTTTGTCTTACAGAAGTTTGTGGCTTTACGTTTTTGTTTTTTAGCCTGTGATATCATGTGAATTTATTCTGTCCTGTTTCAAACTTGCTTCTTTCTTCTGTTCAAGTTAACTGCTTTTTCTCTTATGTAAAAAATAAGATAAAACAGTTGCATTCAAAGTGCCTGGAAAATGCAACTCATGCACACGCATATACAAAATTGCCATGTGACTGAATCTTGTATACAGTAGACAATATTGAAGTTGGTGCTCTGGATTCGGGGAGTTGTTTATCTGTGAAGACTTTTCAAAACTGTATTTTTTTTAACATATTTGTAAATTAAAGAAATCTGAAGGCTAAATCTTCAGATAGCCTGAAGCAATTCAACACCATTAACTGAAATGCCAGTTAGACACAAAACAAGAATTCTGACAATTATAAGTTATTTCCACTGCTCATTGCTTTAATAGAACCATTGGTAGCTATTTCTAAGACAAAGATGTGAACAGGATGAAAGAGAAGATTCACTTCTCCTGGTTGCAGAATGGTGGAAAGAATTCAGGAACCTGCGTAACAGGTCTTAACAGCATCTTCTTCTGTGACCATGAATGGGTAATAGCAGGAGAAGATGATGAATTAGCAAACCTTCTGTCACCTTTTGTATACCAAAGAACCTCCAAGTTTCTAAGTACTTTCTAGTGATGAAAAGCTTCTGCTTTTCCACGTCGGGCTGTCAAAACCAGTATTTTCACTCTGCAAGTTCTGAAACGTGGGTTTCATATTCAACAAACAAATTTTCATTTTTCCACAAACAAATTGGGAAGAATTATCCAGTATGGTAAAATATAGAAGCGCCAAAAAGTGTTTAAAGCCAACCTTGATTATTGACATTATGTTGCATTGATATAGCTGATATTACTAATATGTGGTCAGAGTAGAAGGGACCCATAGGGCTTGAAATATATTGTCAGTGGGCTTGTTTTTTTTCCAGGAATAAGAAGTTTGCATGGTAGTTTTGGAGAACACATACCAAAAGAGCTTGCACCCGAATTTTGCTGTGCTTTGCGTAATAACAGTGAAACAAACTTTGTGAATTCAAAGCTAGATTATTACTTCAGTTTGTTGCATCTACAATAATATTTATGGTTGCTTTAGTCAAGGTTTTATTTTTCCCATGTAGCAGGTGCAAGGTGCTGCTTCTCCAGCAAGTGGAAGACAATCTGGGAGTACTGAACGCAAGCGTAAAGAGCCTCGAGAGAAAGAGAGAGAAAAAGAGAAGAATAGCTGTGTCCTCTTGTAATAGGAAATGGATTTAGTCTGGAGCCAAGTGCATGTCCTCAAAAGCAAAAACAAGGAGTGAAAAAGGAAGACAAACCCGTTACATGCCGCCTGTGCCTGATTATCCCATGGATTTTGTTCACGTTTCAGGAGAGGATGGGTGACTTTATTACAATCATACCGACTTTCTTCAAAGTCCTACTGCGTGCTGTTTGAGATGGAATTCCAAATCACAGTTGGATGCGGCTGTGCTTTGAGTTAGTCATAAGAAATACTGCACCTTGTAGCTGAACACACAAATCATGGCAAGTTTTGTGTCACAGTGACATGCATTACTCATTACATCAGTTAGTAAGCTATTTTATCGTCTACTCTAAACAAGTAATTGGTTTTGTGTCAGACTTCTTCCTGAAGTCTGTACATTAGCACAACATGCTAATCCTGTTACTTTAATGGTATGAAACTATACCTTACACTGGGTCTTCATGACACAAGAGCCCAATGAACAGCTGGGCACTGCCTCCTCCGTGTGTCCAGGTTTCTTTGCTTTTGGATCTGGTATGTTTGGTTTTTTTGAACCCAGATTTATACTGTGTTAGTGCTATCATTGCACCCTCAGCCAGCTTTATCTTGCCCCATGAATATGTGATTTGGTAGGTGTCATACTAAAATTATGTCATAGAAAATGGGGCATTTGTTAATGAGCAAGATGAATTTTATTTGCTTTTCTTGCAATTAAACCTGGGTGTGGCAACTCAGATGTTATCAGGGTTAAACGAGTAATTTTATAGATAATTTTTTTTCTTTTAGTATTTTTTCCTCTTGTAGGTAAACTGGACCAGATAAGTTCTTATTTATTGACCTCTCCGTATGATAAATTAATGATGAGAGGAAACTAAGGTCTATAATAATCCTTATTCTATGTAAGAATGCAGAATTCAAATAACTATCTGCCTTTTTTCCAGAAGTACCTTGATCTTTAAGATGTTAATGTGTCCACTTGTGTACTTAAGCAAGTGTACTGTAGTTAAATACACATTTTTTGTTTGTTTTTCTAAATCACATATTCTTAAAAAGCACACTTTTGAAGGGTGAGAGAGAAGCTAGGCTGCTCTCTGAGATTGTCTGGAAAGGTAGTCAGGTGTAATATTTTGTTTTTTAAATCACTAATTTAGAATTTTTGGGGCACTGGTGTAGAAACCAGGTTTTTCTAATTTATGGGAACCAAATAAACATGTTGCATCTTGTAGTATTTATAGAATACAGAAACAGAATACTTACTGAATTCTGAGGGAACCATAAACCTTCCTCCACTTCCATTAAGTCAATAACAATTATCTTCTTGCTGAACCTTTTTGATAAAATTTATATTCAGCAATTTGTAGATACTTTTGAAAAAGGCTGCTTTTCCTGGACAAGTTCTGATTCATGCTCTAAGCCTGGGCAAGTGCTTTAGTATACACTAGTCTGGGACAGCCAAGGCAGCCAGGAGGAATACGACGTTCCTAGTTTTGGATGTTTGAGAACGTCTGGAAGAGAGTTTAAAATTCTTGATGTCTGAACATAAGTCCACAGGTAAAAAGCTGCTTTAAAATTATTTTAAGCAGACTTGCTGCTGTGACTGGAATCATTCATCACACAAATCTGTTACAAATCCGGAAGGACAATTAGACTGATAAAGAATGAATGTCTTAGGTTAACTAAAGGGCCACTTCAGTTCACTTTTTCCTTTTTTATTTTTTTTTTAGTTCACTTTTTCTTCCATGCCTTTTTTCTTTTGTTTTTCACTTTTGTTACCATTTCCTTTTTATAATAATAAAGTAATGAGTGGTAGAAGATCTCTAATAAACAAATCATAAATATAAAAATTTCTCTATATTCTCTAGAAAAGTCATGCCCAGAAGAGTCATTTTAATACTTAATATATATGCAGTTTAGATAACTTTCTATGTCAAAGCAAAGGTTGACTTCTTTTTCCTTTGCAGCAGCCTAACTTCTTCAAACAAATTAATGTAAAGGAGGATCACCAATATAATGACTTGTCTACTTTAAGCAGAACAGAAAATATTTCAATACAATAGTGTCAATAACAAAGACTTTAAGCCAGAATGTTGTTTAAAAACATTCTGTTACTAAGATTTTTCCAATTTGTGTATTTACATTTATTTATTGCCCTTGGAAAATAAATATGTCAAGCTAAGTGTTTGTTATCTTATTATTTTTCAGTGACAATACTGCCACTTCAAATTCCTTTTTGAACAAATTTCACTTCAGCACACATTGTGGCTATCAAGTGCATCTTTTTGCCCAAGATATTTGCTAGTAGCAGAAGAATTCATGGAAGATTTCCAGTATATCAGACAGATATGCCTGAAACCTAATATACTGTAGTGATAGTAATACTGTCATTTGGTTACAAGGGGAGAAAAGTTAAATATCAATGCTTATCATTAAGTCTGAACTTCCCAGATAACTCAGTTTCTCCTTGAGTAAAGGAGTAAAGGGTGATGACAGATATGTCGTTCAAACAGTTTTCTGTTAATATCCTTTTTTTTTTTTACAGGTCTTGAAGCTTTGGAAAAAAGGTAAAGAATTTCTGATATCTAGGGCATTGTTTTCCATGACTATCTCAGTTGGTATCCATGCTAGCATCTGATGAATCCAAAAAATGATTAGACTGTAGTCTTGAACTGCTTTTATCTGTAACAGTGAACTTGGAAAACAGCATTAGAAAAAGCTCCTGGATCACCAGTAAGATGATGTGTATTTCTGGCTTTCTTTACTTCATTTGCTGTCTTTTTCAAAGCTCGTGTTCTGGAGAAAAGATACAGATTTATACTTTAAATCTGTTTATCCAATTAGCATGCACATGCTTTAAAGGCCTAAACAATATATATTAAGGTGTCCAGAAAAGTAGAGTAGAACTTGTTTTCGGCTAGATAAAAGCTAGCACGGAAGACATGGAACCATATAATTTGTTGCTGCATTGTAGTTGTATAAAAAGCTAAATAAGTATTCTTGAAACTAGCAAAAAATCAAGCACTGCCGTAGCGTAGAATGGTTTTCTAAGAGGCACTTTGTGAACGCTCAAGTCTACTGTTTTTCTTAAGTGATGTTTATGTGGAATCTAAGACCCAACAGAGCAGATCCAAATGAAGACTGTAATACCAGAGGATGAAATTAGCATTCCTGAAAATTCACTTAAACACAGTGCAAAACAATTTTTTGTAGCTAGCCATCCAGTCGGTATAATAAACTTTGTGTTCAGATTGTCTATACAGATCTCTTCTTGTGGATCATGGACACACAAGCTAAGAGTGAATCATAGGCTCTTCTGCATAAAATCGCACTGATTTGCCAGTCCATCTTTCCACTTGTTCAATATTTCACATTACTGTTAAATGTTTCTTCAAACTTGTATTCACAGGTTCTTGAAAAATTCTTCCCTTCTGTAATAAAAGGCAATTTGACTTGAAGTTGAATTTTTTGGTGTATTCAGCAAAAGCTGATGTACTTCTAACTGAACCTTTTTCTTTCCTGCTACAATAGATCTGTAACCTGAAGTAGCTCATTGCTCAAATCAACTCTCTGACCATTGGAATGCTTATCACAGTTGCTCACTGAAGTTTATACAAAGTCTGAACTTCAAAACACGTACTGCGTGAATTAAGAGCTGTATGTATTTTATATAAAAGTGAACTTTTTTTTTTAAGGTTGTAACCTTAAATAGCAGGTAACTCAAGATACGCAAGTTAATTGATGCAGTGTCTTCAACAGAAAGCATATTAGGGAAAAGCAGAAATAACAAACCTTAGTTTGGCTGTAATATAATGTTGAAATATTTCCCTATACATGCTATGAGAGCATGGCCTTGGTAACAAGAAAAATCTGATACTGAAAAATGTTTATGTAGCCTAGAGTGATGCCAACAAGGACAAGCAGCGATGTAAGAATTAAAATATGCATGTTTCATCTTGTGATTCAATATAATCACTTAATTCTTTTGGGCTTTTTAATAAGCACATGCAGCAACAGAGTGGTAGCACTGTTATTTTGAGTGGGAAGATTTGGTGAGGCGAATGACAGTTTCTCATCCGAATTTAATTATGTGGTAGTCTATTTGATCTTAATTTCCATACTATTTCCATATAGCCACTTTTTGTTAACAGCTTGTTCTTACAGTTGTCCAGTAGAAAAGCAGTGTTTTTAAGCTCAACTGTCCTGCGCCCTGAAAGGGAAGATGGGGAGGCAGGGGAAATGCAGGGGAGGAAAGCAAGGTAGGAATATAAAGGTCTCTACGCTACCTACTTTTCTTGAGATTGTTTAGGGATTTGCCCATAATTTTGCTATTATTTTAGCCACTGGTGTGGCTAGGGACAACTTTCTCAGCTGTATCTAGCTGCAGCATAGCAGGTACTGGCCAAATACCCTCACCCAAGTAATGACTAGCATGCTCCCTTCATAGGGGGTTGGCATTGTTTGTCCCTGTACACACTCTTCACTCTCACAATGCTTCCAGGTCAAGACTGTAGCTGTTTTAACTCTCTAACAACTCAAAAGCCTTTTGTTAAATGTCAGTCTTGTACAGTTTAACTTTGCTCTTTAGGTGAGCGCGCTCTCTCTCATTATGAGCTCTCTCTACCTAAAAGTTACTTCTGAAGAACTACCTAAACTTGGAAGTTCTTTACTGCCTTGAACGTTATTTTCCTGCCTTGTAGGATTACTTAGCTTGTGGAGAAGTTTCATGTGTTGAAATGAGAAATTCCTTGGTCTTTGAGTTAAAGAATCTAGTTAAGTATCTGTAGAAGTCAAGATCCCTTGTTCACTTGTACTTGACAGCGTAATTTTCAACAAAATGTTGTTAGGCCTGAGAAATCCATAGGGAAGAATTCAAATAAAAGTTTGTGTACTCAACTGAAAAGTACTAGCTTAGTATAAACAGTATTCTTGCAAACTAACTTATTGTAACAACATGGTGAAAATTGAGGCATGTTTCTCTAGATGTAATCTGCTGGTGAAACACGAAATAAGACACTACAGATGCTTTTGTAATTAGTTGGGTTATAAATTTAAGGAAGCAGGTGGTGGTGATGTGGCTAACAGTCCTGCTGGGGCCAAAAGTGAGTGAAATGTGATTATCTGATATAGTCAAACACAAAGTCAAATGTACTTAACAAAATCTCACCCCTCCCGCCCTTTTTAAAAATCTTTTGGGGAACTGTCCTTTAGTGCTGATAGAAATTCAGTTAGGTTCCATCCAGCTTCAGTGATACATACTGTGAAATTCATAAATGTGGGAAATGATCTACCATGTGGTTCATGAGAATGCCTTTAGGTCATGTAAATGTAGAACTGCATTAGCAAAATCACTAAGCTGGATGAAGTAAAGCGGTGAACTCAAAGCTGAGCCTATCTCAACTTTTGAGTTAACATTCTTTTTCCTTATGGAAGTCTTTAGTAAAACTTGCATAGACTTTTTGAGTTAGACTTTAGTTATTTTTTCAATTACAAAATTAAAAGATTATGCTAAGCAGTCTTGAAAATTGCACCTGATTGTACAATCTTGTATTTTTTTTCTAAATGTTTCAGGAAAAAAAATGAGAATTTTGTCTGAACCGTCTGTTCACTTTTGTTCTGGTTCACTAGCACATACCAGGGAAAGGGCCTAAAACCGCAGTGAGAAACAACAAATGTTATGTGGAAGTAAATGTAAATCAACTGAGTAGTGGACACTTCTAGGAAACTTATTCTATATGAGTAAATATTAATGCACTTCCTTGGGTTTCATCATATCTTGCTGGGGGGAGCGCTGCAATAAAAATATCAAAACTGGGACAATTCTTAATCCCATTATATGAATTGATCATATCTGGTTATTACTACTTGCATTGAGTAGTTCTCCTAGACCTGCTTATGTGGTGCAGTCTGTGAAGCTGATGAGTAAACTGTTTATGCTTGTAATCTAGCTGTAGTAAACGCTGGCCATCATCCAGATGCTAATATTTCTACCTTCAGAAACAGAAATACTGACAAAAAGTCAGTGTTTACATTTACCAACTCTGATGCTTTTAAATACTAGAGCTGTAGAACAGTTAAGAAAAACTAAATAAAGCTGTCTGCCCTTGCCAAAACATTATTTAATTTGTCCTTTTGCAAAAAATGAGAAAAATACAGAATCAGCTATAGAATAATATTAGTGATGTTATCCTTTCCATCTCTGGTAGCATGAAGAGGACTTTCAACTTCTGTTGAAAAGCAGTCTGATTTGGTGCCCTGATCCTTTACTGTGCATTCATGCAGCTCATTAAAACATGTTAGAGTATAACTAGACATAACCATGCCCTTTTTATCTAGCTAATACTGGCTGTTTTAATACTGAGGATATGGCAACATGGACCTCATGGTGTAATGTCTGAAGTCTAGGTACAAACATTATTATTATAGACTTAAGTATTATATGTAGCAACTAAAATAAAGGTAGTGTGACTGTCTCTCCATGCTATAGTTGCACTTGCTGTGGAGGAACTGCAGAAAATCAGATGGCTGCTCTCCTAACGTACCTCGAAACTACCTTGAAATGTTCTTCGTAATAGTGTCTGTACTTATTAGTGTAATACTGTAGGAAGTCTATACAGAATGTAGTAGCATTTAAAAAAAAATACATTTGATTTTTGTAAAAGAATGTTATGTTTAGCAATGTATGTTGTCATCAGCTTTTACAACTCTAACAAACTGCGTCATCAGTAATAAGCCCAGGCTGTAGAGATTTTTACCTGGAAGGATTTAGTAATTATTAGGAACAGAATTAATTCTAAACAAAATACATTTTTATATTTCACGACGGTTTGTCTTGTGACTTGCAGTAGTTAACGGTTCAGGGCTATCCTATAGCCACAGTAATTAGTGGTGGCTGAAAGAGTTTTACGATCTCTTTTTTTAAAACTTTCCCAGCAGTGTTGCAATACTCAAAACACTTGTCCTAAATCATTTTTACTAAATGTCTGGCCAGTCCAACCTCATACTAACAGATACGAAGAGGGAACTGAAATATGACGTTTCAGTATACACTTAACTTACTTAAGCCAGTTTTGTAATTTATTATGTTGTTGCATAGTTAATTATCAACAGGCCCCAGCTCTGCAAGCCCAGATGGGGAACAACTGAAACCTGTAGTTCTAACTTGAGCTGGAATTTCCAAGAAGAATAAAATAGGCTGCTGATCAGTACTTACTTTTGAAAATCTCAGATGAAATAGGAATGTCTCCTCTTTTTTTTTTTTTTGGGGGGGGGGGGTGTTGTAACAGGAAAGCCAGTATTAGATTCTAGCCTTTGTGGTTTTTGACAATAGGTTCAATTTGAGTTTAACAGCATCTCAGATTTGTTAGCACTCTAGTGTGTTACCTGTTCAGCATTCACATATATTCCCAATGGAATTTTTATCTTCTCTTCACTAGTTTGGTGCCAGAGCAACAACTGTTCTCAATTTTAGGATTTTTTACTACTGCAGATTAGCAACAGCCAAAAAAAAAGCTGTTTTACAATAAATGCTTTTTTTTTTTATTACGGTTGGATTTTAGTAAAGTCATTTAAATTCAAAGCTTGAAAGCAGGTCATGAGTGAGGTGAGTAAATAACAGTATGCTTCTTTTGGCCAAGCACAGCCTTGGTAGGCTTTAGAACGGACTTGAACTTACTACAAGAAAATGTTGTTGTGGAAATGAAATCCTCCTTTGACTTGTACAAGTTTAGGAGCAGCGTAGATAGATATAACAAACCAACAAACCTGCTTGTGAATTTTTAAACTACATACAGTTCAGCAATTTGGATTGCATCATGAATAGTTACAATAATCAGAGGGTTGTGTTTAATATATTCAGCTTACAGCAGTATGTTTGTATTTCTAAATACGTTACTTTCTCTTTGAGGCTGGCAGGCAAAAATGACCTTTGAGAACCCCTTTAAAAAATGACCATAAAAACACTGATTTCAAGAGACAATTGTTGTAGCAAGTGTGTTTCTTCACCTATACTTAAGTAACTCTTGAACTTATTAATACTGTTACCTTATGTTAATGTGTTTGACTGGTGATGTAATTTCAGGACAGTAGAGACATTCATTAAATGAGTGGAACTGTTTTTTGATACAGCTTGTTTTTGCAAAAAGAAAACAGTTAATACTTATCCCAACGTTACTCTCAGATCATAGTTGACAAACATACCACTATTATGATTGTTTTTTCCTATATTAATATTTTTGTAGTGTAGAATCATTGTTTACAGGTCAAGTCTGAAAATCCGACAGCGGTCCTGAAAACAGTGAAAAGTATCAAGTATCTTGTCCTTTCCCTTTGAAATAACTTCTAAATCTGTTGCTAGATGCTCAGTACTAGTTCTCGCACAAAAAGTCTCAAAATCTTAACACTTTGTAAGAGATCGTCTTATGGCTACTTATTCTATAAGGGAGTGGAAAAATCTCATCAGTGTCCCCAACAGTAACCTGACACAGTGTTAATGTTAAATGGCATATTTTTGATTTGTCTTTCATATTACAGCTTTCAGTGAAAGTAGTTCTTATCCAAGGTTTCATAAATGATTTTTGATTATCTTTTTATCTTGTGAACAGATGTATAGCTATTTTTTACAGCTTCTGATAATCACCTTTTATATATGCATGTAAGTTTGTTAATAAACTGTAAGTTTGATATTCACAAAAAATGAATCGTACATAAGTTGCCACTAGTTCTGCACTGTTAGTCAAATATTCGTTCCCTGTCACAACAGTTAGTAAGGTCTTTGTGCAAAGATTATGAAGTCTAAAAAAAAAAAAAAAAATTAAGTTCCAAAGATTTCCTGCTTGAAGCAGATCAGTAATACGTTCAAGATGCCTTGCTTAGATATTTTACTTAACAGAATTGTGCAACTGCTAAGCTGTATTAAATCAATGATTTAGTTCTGAGCCTGTTTGTCACCTAATATTTATTTTGTTCTCTAGATCTAACTTAACAGGAAACGTAAAAATGGGAACTAATGCAAGCTACTGTAGATTCCCCAGGAGGAGGGAGAAATTATAAGTTTAACCTGTATTTTAAAAGTACATGACATGACTAAATCCAGTCAATGCAGTATCATATGTACCCAAGTATGTGATTGAAATACTTTTCATCATAATGTTGCCCCTGTTATTGTAACGGCACCTACAAGTTCAACTATTGAATCTGTTTTGCATTTTAAAAGCCTTAATTGTTTATAGTTTTTAGAAACATATTAATGCAGTATAACAAATCAACACTTTCCTGGTAATTTAAGCTAATTTTGAACATGTAGATCATTTCCAAAGAGATGTCTAATTCTGTATTATAATACTGCTTTTTATTGTCTATGTACTGCATAGGAAAAACTGTTAAATTCCATTATCTTTTAAAAAGTGTCTTTGGTTATCAGCTTCGCTATAGTTTAAGTTCCATACCCTGTTTAGATCTATTTTGGTGAACAGTCTTCTGAAATGCATCGCATGTAAATAAATTTAAGTGAGCGAACTTAAATAAGTTTCATTTATTATTTAAATTCTTTCCTAATAAAGCTTAGACAAAATCTGTCAAATTACTTTGGGGAAGAAGAGGACAGGCCATTTGACTTAAATATTTTACAAATGCTTTACCTTATTTTAAAGTTTTTTGGCAACCTGTTTTCAATCTGATTCTTCCTCCTCATCCCAGCTTGTTTCAGTGTTTTCATTTGGAGTTAAATATATACATAGGACACATTTATTTTTACTTCATTAAGCAAAAGTGTCAAGAAACACTGTTTATAGCTTTTTTGAACAGTCTAAATGCTCATCTAAACTTATTTACTATAGCCAAAATAGCAAGCCACACCTCAGGTTTTATTTTTGTGCCTTTCTATAGCCCAAGTTTTCTTTTAAGGTTATAAACTTTCATATTTCCTGTTTTATCCATTAGGTGCTACAAATACTCATCCTATAGTAAATTCAATAAATAGGACAATACATACAAAATATGTAACATGAAGTACAGTCAAATGATAGTCTCTTTTAAATGCACTCTAACCTAACTTGTACTTTCTCCTAGGAACTACAGCAGAAAGCTCTCAAGTAACAGCATCTCAGTAATCTAAACTTGGATTTTTTTTTTCTAAGAGCTGAACAGTAGAAGTGCTTTTACCAAGTACAGAAGATTCCTTAATATGTAAGCACGTGTTTTGACACACTTGCTGATACAGCGTACTTTAAGTTGAAATCTAACTACTGGTCGATTGTGAATATTCACAAAGGGTTACTTGATTTAAAAAAAAAAAAAAATCTTTTCCTGAAAGGCTACCTACCAGAAAATAGTTTAGTTAAACACACTTCCTGCTATTTTCTAATTCTTCTCCACATGCCAAATACTTGGCAGTTCTTCTACCCAGCAGCCAGACTAACTGTGCTCAGCAAAGATCATCGTGCATCTCAGAACGTTCTCACGCTGTCCTCGAGTTCTACTAACAAGATCCTGTCTTCATTTTTGTAACTACCCCATTTGGTAAAGCTGTTTAGTGGATTAGATTTGCATCTTTTTACCTGCTGAAAAATGGCTGCGTGGTAACTATATACTTAGGCTGACTGTGTGATAGATGAGTCCTGGACTGACTGAGTAAAATTTCTGATTGGTTCTGGTCAAGAAAGACTTATCTAGGACATTCAGCATTAAGCAAAAGGTTTGAAAAGATGCATCGCTTTTGCTTGAGACTACACCAGCAGCCAGTTGTAGCTATACCTGAACAACACTGCCTATTCAGATCTCCAACCGCCATAACTAAAGTTCATTTGTGGTAGCCTGGTCTTAAAAAAAAAAAACCCTGAATGCAGCAGTTACTCCACTGCCATACCTCTATTAGAAAAATATTTCATTCTAGACCCAGCCTGACTCTAGGCCTCATTAAACAAGCTCCATGCTTCAGTAAGTTTTGCTGAGCTCAGTATAAAAAGGTGGTTATAGCCTTGATGGGCAGTAAAGGTATAGCTCTTCAAAAATAATGAGGCTGATACTGCATCCTGCTAAGAGTCCTGCAATTAGTCCAGAGACCAGGCAATGGCTCTCTTCTGTTGAGAAAAAGCAAAATGAAACAACTGCTAGAAGTTAGTAGCAGTTATACAGCTGTTGCAGAATGCGCCTCTTCCTTTGCTCCAACAGGTTCTCTGGAAGGCCAGCTAAAGAAGTCTCCCTGTGCACTCCCCTCTAAAGTTTCAGCTTTCTTTTCACTTGCCCCCCTCCCCCCCCCCACCTCCCTCAGAAGCAGTATAAACAGTAGCCTACCTTTAGTTACCAGGGCCTTCAAGGGGCTATACAAGACTAACTTGAATTTCAGATTCATCACAGTACTAGATAATATGCAATTTCTGTGTAAAAATATAAAGTTCTTGTAACCCGAGAGCCACAAACTATCCTAGACACGAAATTCCTGATATTCCTCCCTTACTGAGGAGGATGTATCTAGCAGACACATTTGCTTTCAGAATTTTTTCAAGTGACTTACTGCTTTGCTTTTCTGTTTTACTCTGTTCCCCTTACACCTGTAAAAGGAAGAACTAAAGTCGATACTAAGTGAAAGCAAGTTACTTGCTGGAAAAAAGAGCATCCTTAGGTGTCCAAGTCTGTAGCAGTCCCTTGGTGCTCATCCACCACACTGTAACAAAGACTGTTGGTAGACAAATCTTAGTCTTTAAAAGGCCCACTACCTCTCTTTCATTTAGAAAGCAACAAGTTATCTGAAATTCAAGGATGATTAATAAAACAAAACCAGAAAAACTGTCTTCCATTAACCTAACTTCATGATAAAGTCTACCAGAGCTTTGCTAGAGCAAAGGGAGAGTTGTGAGAGCAAGAGTAAGGCCTCTTGCAAGTTTTCTGGTACTAGTCTGCCTAGTACTATCAGAAATCCCACTATGTTTTCAAGGTGCATAACAGTGAAGGAGATGATTAGAAAAAGTTTAGATCAAGCTTCAAGCTTTCCAGCTAATCTCAGTTACATAATGACCATATAAATCTGTACTCCACTGTTTATGCAAATACAATCATGTTACTATTTTTAAAGCCATTTATGATCCAATTCAACAGAACAAGGTAAATAGCTCTAGGACTCATTTTGAACTCCTTTATGAAATACAAACATCCTCCAGTACAACGAGGCTATTTTCTCTTATCTGGTGGGTCTATTTAAAGCATGTGCTATCAACTACATTTAGGAGAGATCTCTTCATGAAAGTTTTAAGTAGCTACTCCCCATCCAAGTGTTTTGAGCCTGCAGCTTGGGTCAAAACATACAGAAAAGATAGTTTTTATTGGGTATCTCTGCTTATTTGAGCGAGACTGAGGACCACCACTTAATTTTTAGAAGAAGCCTCAGAGTACCCAAATGCATCAGTTGTATTTCTGTCTTTTAAGCAAAGGTAATCCTCTCCCTACAAACAAAAACAGGAACAAGTCTACACCTTTTACCTGCAGTCTCTAGAGAAACTGATCTAAAGTGGTAGGGGGGGTCTTTTCCAAGGCTAGTAGGATTACTTGCATCCTTATTGAGACATGAATATCCCCAGGTGGGGGGTATGTGGTCAAATGCATACTCACACAGATTTTAAAAGCACATGCTTGAAAGACAAGCAAACATCCTTTTTGAGTCAATCAGGAACCAAACTGTCATGATGTAGTACAGCTGCAGTTTGACAGACAATGCCTTTATTACAACAGAATGGTTTGGGAGCTTTAAGCAATCATGCTATTCACTAGGATTTGTCAATATTGTTTTGATTTGCTATACCAACATGTCAGTTTTATTCTCTCTTCCTTTCCCAAAGACCAAATTTCAAAGACTTACTAGAAGCTATACAGAATATGAAGGTTTATTTCAAAAGAATACATTTGCAAGAATACACATAAATGCACTCAATGTAACAGTACCTTCTGCAAAAATAGGTTACATAATACCCAGTAATGCAAGAACAATCTTATTTCTCTACAAATTAGAAAGCAGAGAATAGCCTGGACAACCTTCAAAATGGAGGTTATAGTTGTGTAATGTTGTGGTAAGCAGCTAACTTTAAAGCATGACACCACAGAGCTAATGTTGGTAAATTAAACTACTAGCACACAGCTGCAAACTATTCTTTTATACAAGATTAACAAATGTTTTGGTTCCAATTTGTTTTACACAGCTCTAGTGCCTCAGGGAAAATGCTTATCAAAGATACACAAAAACTATCCAAAATTACAACGCAACTATTAAAATGCCTCCAAAATTGAGAGGAAAAGTAATCATGTTAAATTAAAAAAATTTAACCAGGATTTCCAGACAAGATTTCCTGTTTTTAATCAGAGAAAGTTTACAAGAGATTTCAATAAGTTATCTCGAAACCAAGCAGCTGTAGATCTTAGAATCTTCGTGGAGGTCCACCTTTAAACGGCTTAAATCCTGAGCCACTTCCCCTCTGCATGGAATTGCCTGTGATCTGTACAACTCTATTAATTGGTGAAGAGTTACTGGAAACAAAGGTTTTAAAAAAGTGTTAAAAGTTATGGTAAGTACCTAAAAGCTTGGTGTGCAGGTAAGAACATCGTTACTTCTCTTATCAGTCAACTGTTAAAACCAAAGTCTCAAAAGAGACTTGAAACCATGCAAGAAAAAAAGGCTTTACAAGAAGTCACTCACTTCATAGGGTAGATGAATAGTGCAGCTGAACCATACTGCCATTAGCAATACAACAGATCTAAACACTTAATGCAGAGCCTGTGCTGGCTTGGAAGGATGGAGTGTATGTTGTGCAGCAGCAACCCCTTCCACAGCAAGTCACGTTGATTGCACTGAGACTATTATACTTCTTAAGCACAACCAGAGCTTTGAGAGCTCAGTGGGGAAGTGAGAGGAAGGAGTATTTTTTGTACCTTGTATGTGGAGACATCATGCCACCTCCTCCACGGCCATCTCCCATTCTCCTTGTGTCATGATACCCACTTCCTTGAGAACTAGGTCCATGCCACTCTTTTCTTGGTCCAGTTTCACGACTATGGCGTTCAACAACGTGTCTGTCTTCATTATAGTGCTACAGAGAAAGTGAGAGTCATTTTCATAAAGAAAGGTGTATTTTTTTTTTTAAGTCAATGCTGAAGATGAAGCATAAAATTTTCAATAAAGTTAAGCTTACACTTACAGGTCTCCACTACGAATGTTAAGATGCTTGACTTTGAATATTTCAGTCCATTTGCACCTAATCCATGCTTGCAACAGTCTTAAAAATAAATTTAGATAACAAAATGGAGCTAATTTGCAGTAATGACTGTGTGAGCGTGTAGAGGGGTGAAGTTCCATGAGCTTGTACTTTGCTCCCAGTTCTGCCTTGATTTCATATGATCACTGACAAGCATGTTCCATGTAACTACAGAAAGGGAAACCACTTATTTTTTAAACACATCAGGAGCTAGTATCATGAAGCATTTAGTCTGCAGGCAGGCTTTAAAGTCAAGCCATGCAGGTTTTCACTGAGCAGCACCTTATAGGTTACAGTGACAAACCGTACTAGAAGTACCAGGCAGCGTAAGGTTAGGACACTGAAAATAAAGGAGAATGACCAATATTTAAAAGCCTAATTAAGAACTCATTCAGGTATGATAGCCATTGCTCTGATCCGCTTGAGATACGCTGAACATAAGTAGAGTTGTGTATATTTTGGGGTTGTTTGTTTGTTTTAAAAGGTGTTTTAAAATAAAGAACTTCCTAATAGCACACAACAAACTAAGCACTACATAAATCATTAGCAAGCATTCTGGCTATATGGTCAGCTCGTTTTCCAGCACCGATTTTCTATTTTCCAACCTCTCTCTCTCGTGCACACACAGATGACTCACTTGTCCTCCGCCACCTCTTTCTCCCATCACGCCTCGTTCTCCTTCCCTGCTTCCATACCCAGAAGCGCTGCTACGGCTACCAGGAGGTGCACCTCTCACGTGTCCAGACACTTCTCTTCCTGATCGTTCTGGCCTCTCGCCTCTGTAAAAATTACTTTTATCAAAATTTTTGTTTCAGTATAGCAGAACTGGTACCGAATTGCAGCACATGCAGATTTCAAGATTCCTTTTTCTGTGTTTTTCAGGTTCCTAGCGACTTGCAGTTAGCGTCTTAGAAACAATCTTTTGAAAATTTAAGGGGTTCTCTAAATAATGCATGTATTTGCTTACATCTGTGTTCTCTCATAAAAGCCTCCTTACTATATGTTACTTGGCATGATCAAGAGTCGACTGCTGGGAGCCAGCACCAAGTTTACAGATGAAGTTTAGTCTCTATGACAACCTACCAAACTACACATAAGTTTTCCTAATGCTTTTTGGAAAAGGATTTTGCCATTCTTCAGGAGGGGGTTTGTTCTCTATTTATACAGCAGTTCCTGAGGAATCAGTATTATGAGCAGTTTCTGCAAGAATCGGCACCTTTACTAATTTGTTGAGTATCCAGCAAACTTACCTGCCATCTCGTTTGTCTGTGCTTAGGCTTCCTTCGCTCTTCCAATTTGTTTGCCTAGGTGGATTTGAACCAGTCTCTCTTGGATGCCGACCATGTGGTATTTCAGGTCTGTCATGAATTATCACTGTTCTTCTCTCATCTCTGTCTCCTCGCACTTCTCGTCTGTCCGTATCTCGAAGTTCGCTTCTTGGCTGTGGTGGTTCATTTCTTCTGGACTCACTGAAGTTTTTAGGATATCTCTCAAACCCCGGCTCTTCTCTTCGTGCTGTTGGGCGTGTCTTTTTTGCTTCGCCTTGATTTACAAAACGTTCTCGCCTAAGTAGTTGCAGTAGGAAAAAGTCACTTGCTTGATCTGTATCTTACTCTTATTTCAGCACATATGCATGCACATGGGTAAGCAGACAAAAATACTATTCACCTTTATAATATATGTTTATTACCATGTATGTGGTATGTATCTCAAGGATCCCTCCTACACCAAAATATATTGATTTTACCATTGTCATTTTGAGCTCAACTCAAGTTCTTCCCCAGCTTAACACTTTTTAATGGATTTATCTGTTCCTAAGTACAATATTTCAGCAATTGCATGACCTCCTTTTTTGTTTTCCTCTCTAGCATAAAACATAGGGAATGCTAGATTTCAAGTCAGCTTGAAACTGAAATTCTACTTCCTTGCAGCATAAAAACAAAAGAGCAGAAGCTACAATTCTGTGGTCTTAATTTCATAACTGGTTATTGAAGAAGTTTCATGGAAATACATGATGTTGGTTCTGGACCCAGTATCTACTGAACAGTTAAATGGACTCTGACCAATGTGTCTCCTGCTAGTTACGGTCTTAACACTGATTAAGTCAGCTGCTTTTAGCTTAGTTTCCTAAGGAAAAGTTACCACTTAGGACACACCTAAACCATTGGAATCTTTTTATGAATAGATGTGAAACAGTAATAAATCTAAAAAAATTCTTTTAAAAAAGTGTCTCAAAAAATAACACGAGACAGCTAATTTAATGTCCCCAGAGAAGAGTGCAAATGGCCAGTCCTGAAGACTTAAGAAATAATCAGGACACTGCTGCATTTCTATTGCATCACAACTGCATAAAGCCTTTAGCACTTAAGTTTTGAACAGTTGGAGTGAAATCCATAGAGATGCTGGCAGGCAAATACCTACCCGATTATTTAAACTTACCTATCAAAGGAGGATGATGGAACAGAAGAACCTTCTGGATATCGTCCCCTTTCTCTGTGATCAAAATCATTAAACCTATTCTGCTGGCGACTGTAATCTGAACCATGACTAAAACGTGCGTCTGTATCAAGAGCCATCTTCTTATTCTCATTCCAGTACGGATCATCTCTCCTTTAAGCAAGAAGGAGGACAACCCTAGTCAATTATAAAGATTTAAATGATGCCTTAATATACAGAAATATAATGTAATAGGTAGCAAACGGTTCATGTTAAAAGTCTGTTTTAAAGACAAACCTCTAACCTTTGGAAAACCCAAGGCATGTGCAGGCATGTACATTTTAAATAGCAGTGAAAAAAAATCATTAAAAAAAAAAAAGCTCCATCTGAACTGCAAATTTAAAAAGAAAAAAATATTATTGTAATAGCGTCTGAACAGTAAGTTTACTCTGCTGGATAGTTTAAAAAACAACAAAAATGTGTACGTACGTACACACAAACAAGCTTTCTCAGGGAAGAACATGGTAAACGTCACAGCCATGCTCATGAGGAACATTCAGGCCTTTATGATCAGAATGTGCGAGAGTGGGGCATATAATTAACAGCCTTGAAAACTGAAGCTGTCTTTCCTCCTCCGGATGAAGGAACATTAGTGTTCTGCTACTGCATCTACCATAACTACTTATTCACACTTATATTCCGTCGACACCTATGTCAATTTCAATAGCTTAGGCCTATTCTTATAACGATATAAAAATCAGTGCATCAAAGCCAGTCGAAGTCACGTGGCTCAAACAGTGGATGACAGATGTCATCAGCTTCAGTAAAAACTAAGCCATCATACCGACTCCTTGATCCATCAAATTACCAGAAATGTGAATTCTCAAAGTATAAGCTAGACATTCCAGCCGTTTAGTCAGAAGAACGGCTTCTCTCAGCAAACGTACTGAAGTAAGTTATACTCTTTCGGTACAGCAAGAATTTGTTCACGTGATGCTTATCTTAATTCAAAGCTGTCTCTACAGACAACGTATGTTTCTTATTTGGCATAAATAAATGTCAAAAAACAAACAAATACCAGAAATTCAGTTCTTGCACAAAGACTGAAAGTTCCAGGTACAAACATGCTTTGTCTGACACAAGGTAGCTGCTTCCTTTTACTAGGGGCTGCAAAACAATAGTTTGAGAATTAGATTACCTGTGATCTACATCACGTGGACGTTTCAAAGAATTCCTCTTCTCCTGTTCATAACGAAGTTGCTGCTGTTGTCGACGAAGTTCCTCCCTTTCACGAGCAATACGCTCTGCTTCTTTTCGACGTTCCTATCATAAAAGGGAAAGGTGAATAAACATAGCAAACCCTAAATCTCTTTATTAGCAGCATCTATAAAACAATTATCAAATATACAGAAGTAACACTCAGTAGTTTTCCATTAAAGGCTGATATAATTTATCCATGGATAACACAAAAGATTAAAGAGCATGAGCAATACTTCTCTAAAGACCAGATACAACCAAGAAGCTAGTGGTTAGCTAGAACAAGCTCCAAGTAATTTCTTGAACTGCTACTATGTGCTTTGACCTGAGCTGCCTCTCGTTAGGTTTGCAGTGACACTGCTTTATAGGCAAAATCTGGCAGTTAGGTTAGACTTCTATGGGCAGTATGATCCATTGAGTTTCAGCGTGAATATTAGTGATAGACATGTATAAGCCACTGCACAACCAGTAGAAAGAGCTTGCTATCAAATCACTTATAAGCCAGATAAAAAAATTAAAGACCATTGTTGTACACTGTGGATTACGTATTGTTCAGTTGTTTCGTTTGAGGCCTGGGTGAATGCGTGAAGAGAAAACTTCACGGCAAGTACAAACAGGGTTATAGTCCAAAATGACATTGCACTACAGTTCAAAATATGCATACCTGTTCGATACGAACACGTTCTCTTTCTAAACGCTCCCGTTCCATTCTTTCCCGCTCTAGCTTTTGTCTTTCTATTTCTAATCGCTCCCTTTCCCTCTGCAAGCATTCTTCTCGCTCATGCATTATT